AAGTGGCACATGTGTCAGCTGGGAGAACAAAGTTCCTTCCTGCTTGCCGGTCACCTTGCCTGTCTCTGCTGTCTGTGCTGGCTAACTGCACACAGGGAGCAGCCTCTGGGTTAATACCCTGAGCTGCTGTGGGCAGGGAAGCCTTTGGGATGGCCTAGGGCACTGGCAGAGGTCGCAGGCAAATGGCATGTGTCCTGCCATGAGAACAAAGCCCCTTCATGCTTCCTGGACTCTGTGCCCATCTCCGCTATCTATGCCTGTCAACTGTGTGCAGGGAGCGGCCCCTGAGTCTGGGCCAGTTAGCCACACACAGGGAGAAGCCTCTGTGTTAAGGTGTGTGGTTGCTGTAGGAGGGGCTGCTCCATCTGTTCTGCAGCAATGGCGGATCAGCCAGTTTTCTTGCAGTGCTGGTTGGGGGGAAGGCTGCTTATCACTGTGAGGGGGTTCGGCACTGCGCTGTCACCCAGGGGGTTATGGTGCCTCAAGTTCCTTAATGTTCTCAGCCCAGCAGGCTTTTAAAGTGCCTGTTCTTTTGTCCCAGGACAGCCAGCTGTGGGAACCTGTTACAAGTCTTAATCTTGGATTTTGCTTTTCCACTCTAATATCCAGTGCACCATGCAATGTGTGTCTGTGCTCCCAGTGCAGATTACTAGGGCTGGTTATTTAGCAGTCCTGTGCTTCCACTCCCTCCCCACTCTGATTCTTTTCCTCCCACCGGTGAGCTGGGGTGGGGGGAGTGCTTGGGTCCCACCAGGTCACAGCTTTGTATCTTACCATTTTCTGTGAGATGTTGGGTTCTTGCAGATGTAGCCTGGCTCATGTACTCTATCTTCTGGTCACTCTTAGGAATAATTGTATTTGCTGTATTTGCAAAATATATATGGTTTTGGGAGGAGATTTCCAGCACCCTACTCATGCCACCATCTTGAGAATCCTTATTCAAGAGCAGACTTTTCTTTGCAGGAAGATTTTTAATTTGCAGTTCAATTCCTTTACTTGTCATGGGTCTACTCAGATTTTTTCTTGAGTCAGTTTCCATGGTTATATCTTTCTAGCAAGTTGCCATTCTAGCAACTTCACACAGTTGTTCAGAAGTATTCCTTGAAAGTCCTTTTTTATTTCTGTAAGGTCAGTAGTGACCTCCCCTCTTTTATTTATGATTCTAATCATTTGAATCTTTTTTTCTTGGTTAGTCCTGCTCAAGATTTGTCAGTTTTGCTGATCTTTCCAAAGAACCAACTTTTGGTTTCATTGATTTTATTTATTGTTCCTATTCTCTAGGCATTTCATCTCTGATCTTTATTATTGTGTTCCTTCTTTTAGTTTGCTCATTTTATTGTTTAAGTAATGCATGCACATTGTACAAATACAAGACCAAACATTTTTATTAGGAAACCATTTTCCTATAAAAATATTTGTTGCTCCTTTCCTTTCCTTCAGGTTTGCTTAACATAATCCAGTCAGGGATGAGGCAGATGTAAGTGTGAATATAAAATAAAGCCAAGTGGCCATAAGTGGATGATGACTGTTGTTGTGAAGTTCTATTGCACTATTTTCTTTACCTTTGTATATGCTTAAAACTTTCCATAATAAAGTCATATATATTATAAATATACATACACATATATATTCAGGTTTCAGAAAACACACATCCTTTCTAAAGGCTACAGCTTTGTCACTATACCGGCAAGAATGGGTGCCATGTGGAAGTAAAATGGATTGGGGCAGAGATGAGGAGTCTTTTCATTGTCATTATCTTAGGTCAGGTGTCCCAGGAAACAGATTCTAACATGGGGATTGGCCTTCAAGTTTACCGTGGGATGCTCTTGGTAACATTACTGAGAAAATGCAAGGAGGCAGGATTCAGCAGAGGGAGATGCTGAACTACAGCACAGTTCAAGGAAATCAGTGTTAAGCACACAGGAAACTGGAGCTGAAATGGCCCTTCAGAGCTGTCCCAAATTAAGGCAAAAGAGCTGGCACTGTTATTCCACACCACCAGGAGGCTGAGCCCTGAAAAGGGGTGTGACCTTAGGGTGAGCACAGTCCCTAGGAGACTACTGAGCAATCATCAGTCAACACTCTCAGAAGCTGAAGTAGTAAGTGCCTGTTGAGATGGGCTTTGGAACTACTCACAGTTCATCCTACACCAGTGGCTCTCAGATTTTAGTGTACTCCAGAATACCTGGAGGGTTTAACTGGACATTCATCATGTGCTAGCTGCTGTGTGAAGTATATCCATGTGCATTATTGAATCAGTGCTCCCTCAAAACCTGTAAAATAGTATTGCTATTTTCAGGTTTACAAATAATGAAACAGGCTTAGTATGACCTTGCTCAGATCACACAACTAGTAAGTGAAGGAGTCTAGATTCAAACTCAGTTCTGTCCACAGACAACACTGCCCATCCAAGTGGCTGAAAAATGTGTTAGCTTTCTTTCCTTTCATTTGCCAAGTGACATCTACAGGACAACAGGTGCTGTATAAAGCCAGGAATGACCAGCTGAGGAAGTTCTGCACACCGAGGAAGACCAATACCACTCAGTAGGATGGGTGACAGCAGAATACACTGGGTGCCACAGGGCACTTAATTCTGCTGGAGGAGGTAAACAAGATGACTTGGTTGACCCTTAAGCTGGACCCAGCACTCAGACTCTCACCACCACCCCATGCCCTCTTTCTTGCCATGTATGCTCTACCAACCATTCCCACTGTAGGAGCTGTCCCAAGGCTCACAGCCTTGAGAGGGCAGTACTGTCAAGACCGTCTGCATGGAACCCAGTTGAACTTCTGCAATTAGAAAAGGCTGGGCATGTCTGCCTCCATGTTCATTTGTCTCTTTTGGGCCAAAAAAAAAAAAGTTGAGCAGAAGCCCTTCAACACAGGCTTGTTGATCAAAATGGATTTTGTTCACAATTTGAGATTTCTGCACATTGTCCCTTACCTGCCCTTAGAAATAGGGAAGTAAGTATGAAAATGATTGCCTTGTCAAAGATTTATAGGAATACACAGTGACCAGACTGAGTTCAGTAAGAGCCAACTAAGGACACAGAGTTTCTCAGCTCTCCTCAGACCCTTGTTGGCCCAGATGTCTGCAGCCTTCACCCCCTACCCTACTCCTCCTTCCCCTAGAACAGAAGTAGCCTGCAATCAATCCTTAGGATGGTGCATTAGGACATTAACCCCCATCTTCTCCATCTGCTGGCTTTCCAAATAAAGTGGCTTTCCTTGCCCCAACACTTCGTCTCTCCACTTACTGGACTGTCATACTGTGAGTGGCAGAAGCTTGGACTTGGTAACAAACCCAGTTAGGGCCTCTATATAAATTTATTTAAGATTGGGTGGGTGGGTGCAGAGATCTACTTGTCTTGTAGCCACCCGAGACGAGCCCGGTCAATTGCTTTGCATGTTAAAACTGCCAACTACAAATCTCCAATAGTCTGCCTTTTTCTCCGGTCTCTCCTTCCCCTCTGTGTACAAGAGCCAGCTTTCAAACTAACAAATCAAAATTAGGGGTATCAAGGGAAGACTTTCTGAAGAAAATGATGTATGTGTTGACTCTTGAATGATGATGAAAAGTAAGCCAAGAGAGGCTGAGAGGTTGGATTGTTTCCAGCAAAGGCAAAAGCATGTGAAAAGGAGATGTTGTTCGGGGGTGCGTGCGGTGGGGGCGCACAGATCAGACAGGCAGGGCCAGCAAACTAGGGCTTCTAGGCCATGCTAGCCATTTGAGCCTTGTACTAAAGTCGATGAGGTCAGACCCTGTAAGATTTGTATTTTAGAAAGAGTGAATGATGAAAAGGATAGGACGCTAGTTAACAGGCATTTGCAGAGATCCAGGAGAGAGGTGACAAAGGCTACACTGAGGTAGTGGCAGTGGACTTGGAAAATGAAAAAAAAAAAAAAGTCAGACTTGATACTCAGGAAGCGAACGTGGTAAGCGCGATGCGGTTGAAGTATAGCAGCCACACTTGCGTCTTCCCGCGCCTTTAAGTGACAAGCCTTCTTCGCTTTGGGACTCGGGCTCCTTCCTCGCGCGTCAGAGTAGCGGCGCAGCCCAGTCGGCATGTCCCCATCCGCAGAGCCCACAGGGCGGGATCCCCGCAGCTTCGGCTCCCGCTCTTCACCCTGATCTCCTCCCAGACTTCGGGCTCCCGTTCCTCCCGTGTTACGGCACCCCGTCCGCACACTCACATCTTCCAATCTTGCCAGAAATGCATGCCCTCCAATCCCCGAAACTCGCTACTTGTCCCGAAGGGCTCGGGACCCCACGGGGCTCCCTCCTAGCCGGAGAAAAGAGAATTCACGTCGGAACAGACGTGTCCGCCCACGGCACACTCTGAACGCCAGCTGGGCACCCGCTGTACAAGTCTCGGCGGCACCAGCTCCCGCTGCCTGGGCGGTGGGCACGGAACCGTGGGAACAGCTGGGGGCTCCGCGCGGCGCGGGCGAGTACGAACCCAGACTTCGGCCCGACGACCGCCGGCTGTGACCTCGGACGACCGCGCTGCCTCCTGCGGACCCAACACGCAAAAGGGACAAGAGCACGGCCTGCACGAAGAAGTCCTGGGGTTGTAACAGATCGTCAGGGGACCACGCCCCATCGCCCTCCTCTTCGCAAACAAGTCTCAGAACTGAGAGTTTATGCCGGGAACGCGAGAGAAAGCCGCCGTGGCCTCCAATCGCTCCACTCATTGGCTAATCCCACTGTCGTTCCCAGCGGCCCGCCTTCCTTGCAGGCGGGCGATGTCCTCAATGGCTGATTTCCACCAGCCTTCTGCCCTCATTGGTCTGCTACTTCGTTAGTCAGGCTCGGGTCGTGGAGACAAGCAAAGGGCCGCGCGTGGCCGCGCCCCTTCTCGCGCTCAGGCGCGCCAGTGCTGGGGCAGGAGGCCCCGCCTCTGCGTGCCGTGTGCAAAAACAAACCGCCGTTAATGAGGAGGGGACCGGGGGCGGTGTCTGCCTAGAAGGAGGCGGGTGATTGGGCGGACGCCAGGGTTCAAACCAGTAAGGATAGCGCGCATTGGCCGCGGCAGCGTGAAGCAGGCCCCGGTTATTGTCCAGACTCTGGCGGCGGCGGCGGCGGCGGCGGCGGCGGCGGCAGTCGGTGCTGCGGTGCAGCGGCGGCGGCAGCTCGGTGGGAGCGAGGGCGGGAGCGGCCGAGACCATGGTGAGGACGGCGGGGCGGGGGCGGCAGCTCTGCCCGTTGCGGTGGCGCGAGGCGGCGGCCGGGCTGCGTAGGCCGCGCTCGCCCTAGTGGCGCCGGCCGCCGCGAGGTGAGCGGACGGAGGCCGAACTGTGGGTCCGCCCGCGGGTCGGAGTAGGAAAGCAGCTCCGAAAGGGCGAAGCGCTAGAAGTTTTGAGAGGAGGGGCGGTGCGACCGTGACGTGCTCGCGCCCGGCCCGGTCTTGGCGGGGCCGCGCTGGGGTGCTGCGGCCGGCCCGGAGCTGGTGATGCGCGCGGAGCCGCCTTCGGGGCCGGAAGACTTGGGCTTGGCGGGAAGCGAGCAGGTGGCGGCTCCCCCAGTGTGCAAGGAAGGGCTCGTGTCCCGGTGTCGAATTTCCGGAGTGGACAATCACCGGCCTCCGAGGTGTCATCCACGCAAACGCCTGTTGCCGCCGAGTCCCAGCGCGGCGCGGGGGTGAGAAAGGTTCGAGCGCCTGGGCTGCGTTGCAAACTGCAAAGTGGACGTGCGGCGGGGGCGCGCGCCGTTTGACGGGCTGCCGGGTGGTCATGCACTTGGTTCCCGCAGGTGTAGCCGAGATGCTGGTTAAGTTTGGAACTGCGTCTGCTGTCTCCACACCTTGGAAATAGTCACTAACGAACTGGGGTTTTTAAAAGCTGATTTCCTTAAAAAGCAAATACGTAAAACCAGTACGGTGAATTTGAAGCAGTAAGGATTAACTTGCTTAAGAAGAGTAAATTGGGAAGCCTGGGAGTTTTGCTGTTGGCGGCTTTTAATTGACAACCAGTTTTTATTTAGTAAGTCATAGGCGATTATTGTAATTTTAGACTCATGCATCACTTACCGGTTTTTAAATAGAGCTAAAAGATTTCTTTATTTGAGGAATAAGTGAGAATATGTTACGACTTGAGCTGACCTCAGAAATCAAAGTCTGCTGTATCTTCTTGTACAGCAGTATGGCCAGAGTTTATTAAAATAATAGAAGCATTCTGGTAGAAATCTAAAGATTCTAGGTTCTCTCTGTTAAACCTAAAGCAGTCTCTGTTGCTAAATTACTAAATGGAAGGAAGAGCTATAAATTGGTTCTTAGCCTTTTCCTGCTTCTAATACCTGCCAAGACTTTATGGTGTTTTTCATGTGCCTTTTGGGAGGTAAACATGAAATCAACTAAGATGTGCGATTATGGAGACTATATATACTGGTGATACTTAACTTTAAAAGTTTTTTAAACTATTTAAAAAATATAGACCCTCAAATAGTAGCCAATCTCATACAGTGATTTCTTTTTTGACTAGTTTTCTTTTAACTGAAAAAATGATAGATTTAAATGGTAAAATCAAACAGTCCAAAAGAATATTGGTTTCCCCTTTCAAGTCAGACCCCTAGTATTCCCTCTCTAGAGGCAAGTAACTTTTGTTACTTTCTAGAAATGTGTACACACTCTGTAATACCCCATGTTTACATAAAAACTCACTCCACTCCCATACATTGCCTTTTCCATGAAGAAATGTTTTGTGGCTTATCAGCACATATCTACCTTATTTAAATGGCTGCCTAATATCCAATGCATTTATCTGCCATGTCATATTAGTGAACATTAAGATTATTTGAGAAGTATGTATGTGTTGAAAGTATTGCTTAACTGCCTTAGTTTAAGTTTGAAGGTTTTCTTATTGTAAAATATTGATGACATACAACACAGAGAAGACAAGTAGTGATTCTACAAGATCTTACTACGCTGATGGACAGTGACTAATAGGGTTTGTGGGGGGGGACTTTGTGAAGGGGGGAGCCTAGTAAACATAATGTTCTTCACGTAATTGTAGATTAATGGTAACAACAACAAAAATATATTGATGACAAAAAATATACCATTTTAGCCATTGTTAAGTGTACAATTAATGGCATTAAGTACATCAACATTGTCTTGCAGCCGTCACTGCTAGACACCTCCAGAATTGTTCGGAAATTCTATACCCATTAAATAGTAACTCTTCTTTCCACCATTTTCCCCAGCTTCTGGCAGCCTCCATTCTACTTTTTGTACATATGATGTTGACTAGGTACCTCATATAAATGAAATCATACAGTATTTGCCCTTTTATAACTTGTTTATTTCATTTAACATAATGTCTTCAAGTTTTATCCAAGTTGTGGCAGGTATCAGAATTTCCTTCCTTCCTTTACAGTTGACTACTTTTCCACTGTTCGGGTTAACCAGACTGTTTATTCTTTCGTGCATCAGTTGACACTAGAACTGTTACTTTGCTCTGTTGTGAATAATGCTGCTTTGAACACGGGTTTACAAATAATGTGTTCAAGGCCCTGCTTTCAGTTTTTTAGATTACCTAGAACTGGAATTTCTCTGTCATGTGATAATTCTCTACTTTTTTTTTTTTTTAAGATGCTTTTTTCCCCTTCCAAAAGAGTTGTGAATATTTCTGGAAATTACATCTATTCATGTTTTTAAAAATTATTTCATCATGATATATTTGTAGCATAAAAGTTATACTGACTTGACGATTTTTCAGTATGAAATTTGAGAAATATTTTCAAATTTTTAGAAATCTCATTTTAAATAAGCATTTAAGGCTTGACCTCATATTACATAAATTAATAAATGGTGCTAGAACATGTGTATTTAAAATTAAGGGGGATCACCTAGGTTTTTTTAATTATCTAAAATAAAACTAGAAGAAATTGTTTCCTGAATATTTTTGAAATAGTGTTTTCAACTCTTCATCTGGAGTATTTTTCACTTAGGCTGGAGGCAAAGCTGGAAAAGACAGTGGGAAGGCCAAAGCTAAAGCAGTGTCTCGCTCGCAGAGAGCTGGGCTACAGGTAATGTATACATGCTGTGGTAATTCGTTATTAAATTTTAGACACTCAGATGTTTCATTAACTATAAAATGTACTACTGACTTAGTAAGAGATTAGCTTATCAAAGTTTAAATGATAAAACAACTGTTGTTTTCTCTTCTTCCAAATGAGAACAAGTTACAAAAAGATCTCAAGTGAATTTGGTAATTTTGCTCTCTTAAATCTGTTGTTTCTAGATTATAACTATGTTCCTGGTTCTTTGAAAAAGTGTATCATATGGAGTTGAATGTGCTGTGGTTTTTCTTCTGAAGAAGGTGTTTGTAGTGGTCCACTGACTTTTAGGATGAGATAGAATTTTGAGTAAGAAAGTGAACTGTCCATTAGTCCTTAGTATTTCCCCCATAGCTTCAGTTTTAGACTGAGTGGTATGGTTGAAACACTAAATATTTTCAAACTTCATATTGTTGTGACTTTAATCCACAATTTCAAAATTTTCTGGATGAGTAAGAGTCATTCCTTACATGTAAGAAACTTTAAACAGGAATATTTGAAGTGTAGACTGTGAGGTGTGGATTTTTATCCTCTTGGGAGTGGTGAGCCATTGAAAGTTTTTTAGTAAGCAGGATGATGTGATCCGGGTGGTACTGAACGAAGGGAGACTTTCAATTTGGAAACTTAGACTTACTGGGTGCATTTTGTATCTTAGAGCATCATGTGGATCTCAGGTAGAATTTATTTGAAGGGTCCTTAGTTTGAAGTGGAAGGTGGAGGACAGACAGAGGTGACTGTAGTGGCTGAGGAACAGAGTGACACATACTGGAACTAAAATGGGGTAGAAAGCTATGGGGTTGAGAGGAAAGTCCAGGAAAGGTGTCTGCAAAGTTTGACCCCAGAGGACAGAGGAGTTTGTAATAGGATCAAGTTAGGAGATAATAAATTTGAGTGGAAGTTATAGGGATGGAAGTACAGCATAGGGAATATAGCTTATAATAAAATATCTTTATATGGTGTCAGATGGTATTGTGTTTAGTAATGTATATAACTGATGACTCACTAAGTTGTCATCTGAAACTAATATAATACTGTATATCAACTATTTCAGTAAAAATACATGAAAGTACAGTTCAGGAAGCAAAATAAAAATGGAGTTCATTTTGAAGTTCCACCAAAACACCCACATGAAAATGTCTTAAAGTTGTAGATTTGAGTCCAGCTCTCTAAGAGGCCTTTAAAAGAATTACAGATTTAAGGTCATAATGTAAAATCAGTAGTTCACGTTGTAACTGAGTTTCCTAAGTAGAGCAGGAGAAAGGAACACAGGGACATTGGTGGACCCCTCAGAAATACGTGGCATTTGGTTCAGAGAAAGGAGAGACTGAGACTGAGTGGTCAGAGTTACTGCTGGAGCTCCGTGTAATCTCTGCAGCCTGAGGAGAACAGGTTGTCGAGGCCCTCCCATGTGTTGGATGACATGCCAGTGACTGAGGCTGCAGAGGAGAGTAAGGTATGGATCTTGCTTTTAGGGAGCTAAGAATTACATAGGGAAGGAGTGTAAACGAACAAGAATCATGCCTTTCTCCTGAAGGATTCAATCTAGAAGTGGCTAATAGATTTGATAATTAAAATGTCACTGCTGACCTTCAAGAATGGTGTTTAAAAGAAGCCAAGTTCAGATGGGGAGAAAGCCAGTGACAAGAAAGTAAAGGTTTCAGGGTTTGCTTTTAAATTTTGCCTGTGAGTGGAAGCAGCTGCCATATGTGTGAAGAGGTCTTAAGTGTGCAGAAGGAGAGGAGCCAGTAGGAAGGAGGTCCCTGGAACTGATGCAGTAATGACATGGTAACGGCAGGAAGGCCTGAATAGCCACAGGCACAGACAGGTGGGATTGGGATAGTTGGAAATAAGAAAGTGCCTATTCTCAGAAAGTAGAAAGAGTTATGATGAGAGAATGGAGTTTTTCTTAGCTGTCAGGTCATATCTTGAAACTGAGGAAAGAAGAATGGAGCTGGGGCCCAAGGGAAGTGGTGGAGGTTCAAAGTTGTATGAGGCTGCTCTATGAAAGTGTTAGCTGGATACAGATGGGTGACTGCTGTGCAGTGTGCGCACTTGATGACTGTGCAGGACAGGTTCCCTCCGTTTTCCAGTGATCCTGTATACTCTGCAAGTTAATTCATGAGCCCTGTGGTTCGCGTTTTTTAACTTTTTGTTCTTTCCTCAGGATGGTAATGGCAAGTGTGACGATTTTGGGCTGATTACTAGAACATAACACAGTGGCTTTGTTTGCCGAGGTGTATGACCAGGCTGCTTGCTTCCTACACTTAATCGCTAGTCTCAGCCTCTGTTCACTCAGCAGTGCTGTGGCAGCGCTCCAGTGCTGCCCATCCGGTTGGTCTCTCTTCTAGTTTCCAGTGGGCCGCATCCACAGACATTTGAAGACTCGAACCACGAGCCATGGAAGGGTCGGTGCCACAGCTGCAGTGTACAGTGCTGCCATTCTGGAGTACCTCACTGCTGAGGTGTGTGGGGACAGTGTCTGTCACATACGGGAATGCAGAAGATATCCTAGACTGCACCCGGCTGGGACATGGGAGATGAGGGTTGGAAACAAAAAAACACATCTGCTCATTGGTTTCTTTAATGGCAGTTAAAAATGTGTCTTAACAGCCTGTTGCCCAGTGCCAGTGTCAAAAGGAGCCTTGGTGTACTGTTTTTAAAGCTAAGCAAAGGTCAACAATTGAATTTCTAAGTAACATTTAAATATTGTACTGCTAATTAGGTGAGCTCTGAAGCATGTATCTAATCTAATATGTAATACATGATATTTGTGAAGCTCCAGCACAGCCTCTTAGTAAACGAAGATTTGGGGTAGGGAACAGGTTTGCTAATGTGATGATACATTTTAGAAATTTAAAGTATATGATGATGATAAAATTGGTAAAAGACCTAATGGATCAGTCTGATTCTCTGTGGGGTTGTATGCATAAAATGCTGTATCTTGCTCAGTATGACATTTCAGAAAGACAAGTTGATTGGGCAAGAGTTGTTAATTCAAGGGTCATGGACCACCATTTCCTCCATCCCAGCCACTCCTAAGGACAGCACATGGGAAGCCATGAGATGCCTTCAGCTACATTCCAAGCCAGGGAAGTAACTTGAGTAACCAGTCAAGTGACAGAGATAGCCAGCCTTGCAAAAACAGGGGAGGTTCTTACTAGGGAAGATGTGGTTGAGAGCTAGGCCGAGAGATTTGTGTCTAACCTGTGTGAATTACCGTTGCTGTCATTTCCTTAGCCTCATTAAGTCGTGTGTGTCCAGTTAGAGACTTGACACTGAATGATGGACAGCTTCAGCTTCATTATGTCAAGAGTCAGGGGTTCGGTTTTGGCCGTGTGTGTAGTTGAGAGCCTCTTCTCCCCCTTTCTCCCACTCAGTCTTATACCAGTTTTTACTTAAACTTTTTGGAAAGGCATGTATTTTGTTCCAAGTCAGAGTGTTCAAATCCCATCTAAACTCCCATTTTCTTAATTCTTGAAAACTTTGATTACAGTTTTTTAGATTAAGGTAAGACAGTAAATGCATATAAGATGTCAGCATACTTTCTACCTATTTAAGTTTGGGGTTTTAATCATTAGTAGAGGTAAAGAAAATACTGAAATCTAAAGTTGGCTTACCCCTTATCAACCTTGGCTTCACACTGGGGTCACTTAGGGTGCTTTCAGAAAAATATTGGGACCAAGCATCACCCCCGACCAGAGTCCGGGGGTGAGAGGATCCTGGTTGTTTTCAAAGTGTGCCAGTTGCTTCAGATGCACACCAAGGCCTCCCAGCACTGTAAGTGAGAGGCACTGCGTTATTTTTGTACTACTTCCATCAAAGGTTTCATAATGGAAATATAGTCTGGGGAGCAAAAAACAAATAAAAAACACAGTTTTTTCTTTTAACTGAAAAAATGATAGATTTAAATGGTAAAATCAAACAGTCCAAAAGAATATTGGTTTCCCCTTTCAAGTCAGACCCCTAGTATTCCCTCTCTAGAGGCAAGTAACTTTTGTTACTTTCTAGAAATGTGTACACACTCTGTAATACCCCATGTTTACATAAAAACTCACTCCACTCCCATACATTGCCTTTTCCATGAAGAAATGTTTTGTGGCTTATCAGCACATATCTACCTTATTTAAATGGCTGCCTAATATCCAATGCATTTATCTGCCATGTCATATTAGTGAACATTAAGATTATTTGAGAAGTATGTATGTGTTGAAAGTATTGCTTAACTGCCTTAGTTTAAGTTTGAAGGTTTTCTTATTGTAAAATATTGATGACATACAACACAGAGAAGACAAGTAGTGATTCTACAAGATCTTACTACGCTGATGGACAGTGACTAATAGGGTTTGTGGGGGGGGACTTTGTGAAGGGGGGAGCCTAGTAAACATAATGTTCTTCACGTAATTGTAGATTAATGGTAACAACAACAAAAATATATTGATGACAAAAAATATACCATTTTAGCCATTGTTAAGTGTACAATTAATGGCATTAAGTACATCAACATTGTCTTGCAGCCGTCACTGCTAGACACCTCCAGAATTGTTCGGAAATTCTATACCCATTAAATAGTAACTCTTCTTTCCACCATTTTCCCCAGCTTCTGGCAGCCTCCATTCTACTTTTTGTACATATGATGTTGACTAGGTACCTCATATAAATGAAATCATACAGTATTTGCCCTTTTATAACTTGTTTATTTCATTTAACATAATGTCTTCAAGTTTTATCCAAGTTGTGGCAGGTATCAGAATTTCCTTCCTTCCTTTACAGTTGACTACTTTTCCACTGTTCGGGTTAACCAGACTGTTTATTCTTTCGTGCATCAGTTGACACTAGAACTGTTACTTTGCTCTGTTGTGAATAATGCTGCTTTGAACACGGGTTTACAAATAATGTGTTCAAGGCCCTGCTTTCAGTTTTTTAGATTACCTAGAACTGGAATTTCTCTGTCATGTGATAATTCTCTACTTTTTTTTTTTTTTAAGATGCTTTTTTCCCCTTCCAAAAGAGTTGTGAATATTTCTGGAAATTACATCTATTCATGTTTTTAAAAATTATTTCATCATGATATATTTGTAGCATAAAAGTTATACTGACTTGACGATTTTTCAGTATGAAATTTGAGAAATATTTTCAAATTTTTAGAAATCTCATTTTAAATAAGCATTTAAGGCTTGACCTCATATTACATAAATTAATAAATGGTGCTAGAACATGTGTATTTAAAATTAAGGGGGATCACCTAGGTTTTTTTAATTATCTAAAATAAAACTAGAAGAAATTGTTTCCTGAATATTTTTGAAATAGTGTTTTCAACTCTTCATCTGGAGTATTTTTCACTTAGGCTGGAGGCAAAGCTGGAAAAGACAGTGGGAAGGCCAAAGCTAAAGCAGTGTCTCGCTCGCAGAGAGCTGGGCTACAGGTAATGTATACATGCTGTGGTAATTCGTTATTAAATTTTAGACACTCAGATGTTTCATTAACTATAAAATGTACTACTGACTTAGTAAGAGATTAGCTTATCAAAGTTTAAATGATAAAACAACTGTTGTTTTCTCTTCTTCCAAATGAGAACAAGTTACAAAAAGATCTCAAGTGAATTTGGTAATTTTGCTCTCTTAAATCTGTTGTTTCTAGATTATAACTATGTTCCTGGTTCTTTGAAAAAGTGTATCATATGGAGTTGAATGTGCTGTGGTTTTTCTTCTGAAGAAGGTGTTTGTAGTGGTCCACTGACTTTTAGGATGAGATAGAATTTTGAGTAAGAAAGTGAACTGTCCATTAGTCCTTAGTATTTCCCCCATAGCTTCAGTTTTAGACTGAGTGGTATGGTTGAAACACTAAATATTTTCAAACTTCATATTGTTGTGACTTTAATCCACAATTTCAAAATTTTCTGGATGAGTAAGAGTCATTCCTTACATGTAAGAAACTTTAAACAGGAATATTTGAAGTGTAGACTGTGAGGTGTGGATTTTTATCCTCTTGGGAGTGGTGAGCCATTGAAAGTTTTTTAATAAGCAGGATGATGTGATCCGGGTGGTACTGAACGAAGGGAGACTTTCAATTTGGAAACTTAGACTTACTGGGTGCATTTTGTATCTTAGAGCATCATGTGAATCTCAGGTAGAATTTATTTGAAGGGTCCTTAGTTTGAAGTGGAAGGTGGAGGACAGACAGAGGTGACTGTAGTGGCTGAGGAACAGAGTGACACATACTGGAACTAAAATGGGGTAGAAAGCTATGGGGTTGAGAGGAAAGTCCAGGAAAGGTGTCTGCAAAGTTTGACCCCAGAGGACAGAGGAGTTTGTAATAGGATCAAGTTAGGAGATAATAAATTTGAGTGGAAGTTATAGGGATGGAAGTACAGCATAGGGAATATAGCTTATAATAAAATATCTTTATATGGTGTCAGATGGTATTGTGTTTAGTAATGTATATAACTGATGACTCACTAAGTTGTCATCTGAAACTAATATAATACTGTATATCAACTATTTCAGTAAAAATACATGAAAGTACAGTTCAGGAAGCAAAATAAAAATGGAGTTCATTTTGAAGTTCCACCAAAACACCCACATGAAAATGTCTTAAAGTTGTAGATTTGAGTCCAGCTCTCTAAGAGGCCTTTAAAAGAATTACAGATTTAAGGTCATAATGTAAAATCAGTAGTTCACGTTGTAACTGAGTTTCCTAAGTAGAGCAGGAGAAAGGAACACAGGGACATTGGTGGACCCCTCAGAAATACGTGGCATTTGGTTCAGAGAAAGGAGAGACTGAGACTGAGTGGTCAGAGTTACTGCTGGAGCTCCGTGTAATCTCTGCAGCCTGAGGAGAACAGGTTGTCGAGGCCCTCCCATGTGTTGGATGACATGCCAGTGACTGAGGCTGCAGAGGAGAGTAAGGTATGGATCTTGCTTTTAGGGAGCTAAGAATTACATAGGGAAGGAGTGTAAACGAACAAGAATCATGCCTTTCTCCTGAAGGATTCAATCTAGAAGTGGCTAATAGATTTGATAATTAAAATGTCACTGCTGACCTTCAAGAATGGTGTTTAAAAGAAGCCAAGTTCAGATGGGGAGAAAGCCAGTGACAAGAAAGTAAAGGTTTCAGGGTTTGCTTTTAAATTTTGCCTGTGAGTGGAAGCAGCTGCCATATGTGTGAAGAGGTCTTAAGTGTGCAGAAGGAGAGGAGCCAGTAGGAAGGAGGTCCCTGGAACTGATGCAGTAATGACATGGTAACGGCAGGAAGGCCTGAATAGCCACAGGCACAGACAGGTGGGATTGGGATAGTTGGAAATAAGAAAGTGCCTATTCTCAGAAAGTAGAAAGAGTTATGATGAGAGAATGGAGTTTTTCTTAGCTGTCAGGTCATATCTTGAAACTGAGGAAAGAAGAATGGAGCTGGGGCCCAAGGGAAGTGGTGGAGGTTCAAAGTTGTATGAGGCTGCTCTATGAAAGTGTTAGCTGGATACAGATGGGTGACTGCTGTGCAGTGTGCGCACTTGATGACTGTGCAGGACAGGTTCCCTCCGTTTTCCAGTGATCCTGTATACTCTGCAAGTTAATTCATGAGCCCTGTGGTTCGCGTTTTTTAACTTTTTGTTCTTTCCTCAGGATGGTAATGGCAAGTGTGACGATTTTGGGCTGATTACTAGAACATAACACAGTGGCTTTGTTTGCCGAGGTGTATGACCAGGCTGCTTGCTTCCTACACTTAATCGCTAGTCTCAGCCTCTGTTCACTCAGCAGTGCTGTGGCAGCGCTCCAGTGCTGCCCATCCGGTTGGTCTCTCTTCTAGTTTCCAGTGGGCCGCATCCACAGACATTTGAAGACTCGAACCACGAGCCATGGAAGGGTCGGTGCCACAGCTGCAGTGTACAGTGCTGCCATTCTGGAGTACCTCACTGCTGAGGTGTGTGGGGACAGTGTCTGTCACATACGGGAATGCAGAAGATATCCTAGACTGCACCCGGCTGGGACATGGGAGATGAGGGTTGGAAACAAAAAAACACATCTGCTCATTGGTTTCTTTAATGGCAGTTAAAAATGTGTCTTAACAGCCTGTTGCCCAGTGCCAGTGTCAAAAGGAGCCTTGGTGTACTGTTTTTAAAGCTAAGCAAAGGTCAACAATTGAATTTCTAAGTAACATTTAAATATTGTACTGCTAATTAGGTGAGCTCTGAAGCATGTATCTAATCTAATATGTAATACATGATATTTGTGAAGCTCCAGCACAGCCTCTTAGTAAACGAAGATTTGGGGTAGGGAACAGGTTTGCTAATGTGATGATACATTTTAGAAATTTAAAGTATATGATGATGATAAAATTGGTAAAAGACCTAATGGATCAGTCTGATTCTCTGTGGGGTTGTATGCATAAAATGCTGTATCTTGCTCAGTATGACATTTCAGAAAGACAAGTTGATTGGGCAAGAGTTGTTAATTCAAGGGTCATGGACCACCATTTCCTCCATCCCAGCCACTCCTAAGGACAGCACATGGGAAGCCATGAGATGCCTTCAGCTACATTCCAAGCCAGGGAAGTAACTTGAGTAACCAGTCAAGTGACAGAGATAGCCAGCCTTGCAAAAACAGGGGAGGTTCTTACTAGGGAAGATGTGGTTGAGAGCTAGGCCGAGAGATTTGTGTCTAACCTGTGTGAATTACCGTTGCTGTCATTTCCTTAGCCTCATTAAGTCGTGTGTGTCCAGTTAGAGACTTGACACTGAATGATGGACAGCTTCAGCTTCATTATGTCAAGAGTCAGGGGTTCGGTTTTGGCCGTGTGTGTAGTTGAGAGCCTCTTCTCCCCCTTTCTCCCACTCAGTCTTATACCAGTTTTTACTTAAACTTTTTGGAAAGGCATGTATTTTGTTCCAAGTCAGAGTGTTCAAATCCCATCTAAACTCCCATTTTCTTAATTCTTGAAAACTTTGATTACAGTTTTTTAGATTAAGGTAAGACAGTAAATGCATATAAGATGTCAGCATACTTTCTACCTATTTAAGTTTGGGGTTTTAATCATTAGTAGAGGTAAAGAAAATACTGAAATCTAAAGTTGGCTTACCCCTTATCAACCTTGGCTTCACACTGGGGTCACTTAGGGTGCTTTCAGAAAAATATTGGGACCAAGCATCACCCCCGACCAGAGTCCGGGGGTGAGAGGATCCTGGTTGTTTTCAAAGTGTGCCAGTTGCTTCAGATGCACACCAAGGCCTCCCAGCACTGTAAGTGAGAGGCACTGCGTTATTTTTGTACTACTTCCATCAAAGGTTTCATAATGGAAATATAGTCTGGGGAGCAAAAAACAAATAAAAAACACAGTTTTATGATTAGCCAGGACTTCAAAATTCCTCTAGTTGAAAATTCTCGTAAAGGGCTTCCAGCTTATTGCATAGAGATTGTAGGATCCAATGATGTTAAAAACTTATGAATAAGTAATTCTTTTAATTATATTTTTTAACTTATACAAGTACTAAGAAATAAATTCCAGCTACTAAGGGCTTTGCAAAAACAGACTACATGGATATATTAAAATATGTTTTAATATTTTATTTAAATATTTTTCTACATGTACACATTCAGAATCATGGCTTAGGGATAGTGTTAACCCTTGTCCTTATTTTTTTCTGTAGAAGGTAGTTTCTAGATCCCTTGCAAAGAATGAATATAAATGGGCCAGTCAAGTAAAGAGAGTTCTATAAAAGCAGTATAAAGATATAAAAAAGAAAAATGTGTTGTTGGTTTCTGTCTGTCTTGTGTGTTTTGTGTACAGGTGCTATAGTGATCTTTTTAGCTATAGTTGTGAGAGGTGCTATAGTGATCTTTTTAGCTATAGTGAGTCTATGCTGATTCCTTAGAAATGCTTTGTCCTTTGATGTGCTGTCTCGTGGATGTGCTGTAGGTGTTGGAGCTGGCAGGTAATGCGTCCAAGGATCTCAAAGTGAAGCGGATCACTCCACGTCACTTGCAGCTTGCGATCCGTGGAGATGAAGAATTGGATTCTCTTATCAAAGCTACCATAGCTGGGGGTGGTAGGTATTAATACTCTTCAGCCTAGGTTATTATTGGCCTTTCTAACAGAGAATTCAGACTGATGGTACAGTGCATTTGAATCATAGCCAACTAGAAGACACGAGATAACAAATGAGTCAGAATCATGAAGGTGAGATATAAATTGTTCTTAACCCTTTTTGGATCACCTTTGTAGAAACTTTGAAAGCTCTGGTTATTACTCTTTCCCAAAAAGCACTTTTTTGGGGGTTAAATTATCAAATGTACATCACAGTGGTTCAACAGTCCCCTTCACCTTGCCCTCCCACACTCCCACACACTCCTCTCCCCCTTGGTGACCACTAGTCACTTCTCAGTGTCTGTGAGTCTAATGCTGTTTTGTTCTGTCTGCTTTGTTTTGTTTTTATATTCCACGTGTAAGTGAAATCATATGGTATTTGTCTATCTCCACCTGGCTTATTTCACTGAGCATAATACCCTCTACCTCCATCTGTGTCCCAAATAGCAGGGTTTCTTTCTTTTTTATGGCTGAATAATATTCCATTGTGTATATGTACCACCTCATCTTTATCCATTCATCTATTGATGGACGCTTAGGTTGCTTCCATATCTTGGCTATTGCAAACAGTGTGGTGATAAACATAGCAGTAGACATCTTTTTGAATCGGATTTGTTTTCTTCAGGTAAATTCCTAGGAGTGGGATTAGTGGATCAAATGATATTTCTGTTTTTATTTTTCTGAGGAACCTCCCTACTGCTTTCCACACTGGTTGCACCAACTTGGTTTCCCACCAACAGTGTAGGAGGGTTCCTGTTTCTCCACATCCTTGCCAGTACATGTTATCTCTTGTCTTTTAGATGTTGGCCATCTAACTGGTGTGAGGTGATATCTCCTTGTGGTTTTAATTTGCATTTCCCTGATGATTAGTGATGTGGAGCATCTTTTCATGTGCCTGTTGGCCATCTGAATTTCTTTTTTGGAGAAATGTCTGTTTAGATCCTGTGCCCATTTTTTGATCGGTTATTTGTTTTTTGGGTGTTGAGGTATATGGGTTCTTTATATATTTGGGATGTTAACCCCTTATTGGATAAGTTGTTTATAAATATATTCTCTCATATTTTAAGATGCCTTTTTGTTCTACTGATGGTGTCCTTTGCTGTACAGAAGCTTTTTAGTTTGATATAGCCCCACTTGTTCATTTTTAATTTTGTTTCCTTTACCCATGGAATTTGTTAAGGAAAAAGTTGCTTATTTTTATATTCAAGAAATTTTTGCCTATATTTTCTTCTAAGAGTGTTATGGTTTCATGACTTACATTCAGGTCTTTGATACATTTTGAGTTTACTTTTGTGTATGGGGTTAGACAGTAATCCAGTTTCATTCTCTTACATGTAGCTATCCAGTTTTGCCAATACCAGTTGTTGAAGAGGCTGTCGTTTCCCCTTTGTATATCCATGGCTCCTCTATCATATATTAATTGACCATATATGCTTGGGCTCTCTAGTCTGTTCCATTGGTCTATGGGTTTGTTCTTGTGCCAGTACCAAATTATCTTGATTACTGTGACTTTGTAGTAGAGCTTGAAGTCAGAGAGTGTAATCCTCCCAGCTTTGTTTTTTCTCAGGATTGCTTTGGCTATTCAGGGTCTTTTGTGGTTCCATATGAATTTTAGAGTTATTTGTTCTAGTTCATTGAAGAATGCTGTTGGTATTTTGATAAGGATTGTATTGAATCTGTAAATTGCTTTGGGCAGTATGGCCATTTAGACAATATTAATTCTTCCTATCCATGGGCATGGGATGTATTTCTATTTTTTGGTGTCTTCTTTAGTTTCTCTCGTGAATGTTTTGTGATTTTCAGAGTAAAGGTCTTTCACCTCCTTGGTTAGGTTTATTCCTAGGTACTTTATTCTTTTTGATGCAATTGTAAATGGAGTTGTTTTTCTGATTTCTCTTTCTGCTAGTTTGTTTTTAGTATATAGGAATGCAACAGATTTCTGTGTATTCGTTTTGTATCCTGCAACTTTGCTGAATTCAGTTACCCGAGTAGTTTTTTTGGTGGAGTTTTTAGGGTTTTATATGTACAATATCATGTCATCTGCAAACAGTGAGAGTTAAACTTCTTCCTTCTCAATCTGGATGCCTTTTTATCTCTGTGTTGTCTGATTGCCATGGCTAGGACCTCCAGAACTATGTTGAATAAAAGTGGGGAGAGTGGGCATCCTTGTCTTATTTCTGATCTTAAAGAAAAAGCTTTCAGCTTTTCGCTGTGAAGTATGATGTTGGCTGTGGGTTTGTCTATATGGCCTTTATTATGTTGCGGTACTTGCCCTCTACACCCATTTTGTTGAGTTTTTATCATGAAAGGATGTTGGATTTTGTCAAATGCTTTTTGGCATCTATTGAGATGATCATGTGGTTTTTATCCTTTCAGTTGATGTGTATGATATTGATTGATTTGTGAATATTGTACCATCCTTGCATCCCTGGATTAAACCCCACTTCGGTTTGCTAATATTTTTTTGAGGATTTTTACGTCTATGTTCATCAGGGATATCAAATTGCTATGATTTTTTTTTGTGGTGTCTGTCTGGTTTTGGTATTAGAATGATGCTGGCCTCATAGAATGAATCTAGAAATATTCCCTCCTTGTCTACTTTTTGAAATACTTTAAGCAGGATGGGTACTAGCTCTTCTTTAAATGTTTTGTAGAATTCAGCTATGAAGCTATCTGGACCTGCAGTTTTGTTTTGGGGAGTTTTTTGATTACCAATTCTATTCCATTGCTGGTAATGGGTCTGTTCAGATTTTCTGTTTCTTCCTGGATCAGTCTTGGAAGGTTGTATTTTTCTAGGAAGTCATCCATTTCTTCTAAGTTGTCAATTTATTGGTATATAATTTTTCATTTTATTCTCTAATCTTTGTATTTCTGTGGTATCCATTGTGATTTTTCCTTTCTCATTTCTGATTCTGTTTATGTGTGTACACTTTTTTCCTTGATAAGTCTCGCTAGGGGTTTATTTTTTCTCTTTCTCAAAAAAACAGCTTTTGGTTTTCATTTTTTTCCTATTGTTTATTCTTTCTATTTTATTTCTGCTCTGATCTTTATTGTGTCCCTACTTTGTGTTTAATTTGTTTTTCTTTTTCTAGTATCTTTGTGATTTTAGACTGTTTATTTGTGATTATTCTCATTTCTTGAGGTGAGCCAATATTGCTATGTACTTTCCTCTTTGGGGCCTTTGCCGCATCCCTCAGATTTTGGGCTGTTGTGTTTTTGTTTTATTTGTCTCCATGTATTGCTTGATTTCTGTTTTTAATTTGTTCATTGATCCATTGGTTATTTAGAAGCATGTCATTTAGCATCTTTTTTTTTGTGTGTGTAATTTATTTCTAGTTTGTACCATTGTGGTCTGAGAAGCTGCTTGGTACAATTTCAATCTTTTTTAATTTATTGAGGCTCTTCTTGAGGCCTAGTATGTGATCTATTCTGGAGAACACTCCATGTACACTTGAGGAAAAAAAAATACAGTTTACATTATAAAGTTCATTCCAGACCTCGAAGGTGATGGGAAGCCTTACAGAGATACTTTAACAAAATCAGAATGTCAGTGAGGACTTGTGTAAATTTCATTCTTTATATAATTGCTCTTTTTTGTTGAGGTAAGGTATACAACAGTCTCAATTTTTTAAGACACTGCTTCTTTTCATTTCATTCCAGGTGTGATCCCTCACATCCACAAGTCTCTGATTGGAAAGAAGGGACAGCAGAAAACTGCTTAGGGTGTTGTTTTAGTCAACCCTCTTCCTGCCCGTCATTGTACTGTAACTGGAACAGAAGAAACAATGGGGATATGTGGAGTTTTTAAGACAATTAAATGGAAGAGCATAGACAGTTACTGTAGACATAGTAAAAGCAACATTTGTACGTTCTTAGACTCAAAGTTTGATAAAAGTACCTTTTCATGTGGAACAGTTGTGTTGATTGACTAGGTTTGTCCCATATGTTTTATACAAAAATGGAATTGATAAACCATTTTTTACAAAAGTAATTTGTCTCAAAGCTGTCTGTTCATGATGTGTTGGAAATTTTTTGCTCATACTTAGAAATTTTTTGAATTTCAAATTGGTTATCATATATATTCAGAATAACCTTAAAGCAAATTATGGGAGTATAGCTTTATCATGATTGGTAACATGTTATATTTAATCTTCAATGCTATCCATTTGTGGTACATACTGTTATTTTGCATACCACTAAAAGAAAGAAAAAATTCTGCCTGTTACCATGTGTGCAGTGCATCCCAACCTCAGAGATGTTAGAATATGAAAATGTGCATTTACAATTAATGACCTAATATAGTATGGTTACTACAATGGCAGACCCTATATTAAGTGTTTTACTGATTAAGAAATTTTATTGCCCCTACTTAAAAATGTGGAAACTACAGCTCACAGAAGATAAGTGCTTTGCCAGAAAACACCTTGTTTCTATCTTAGAAGGTAAAAAGTGGCAAAGTTAGGATACAAACCTAGATTTGGTTTACTCCATAGTTCCCACTGTTACCTAGAATTGAAGTTAAATTGTATCAAAGATTTCTGCTTTTGGCTTTAAATTGCAGCTTCTGGTGGTTTTTTATTGGTACAGAACATTCAGAAATTTGCGCAGTATTTAAAAAAATATTTCTTTGTCAGTTTCTAAGCAACTATTGTAAGATTTAATTTAATGTACCAGTTCACAGCCCATCAGAAAATTATATTTTTCTGCCTGGAAGTCTTCATTAAAAGAAAATTTTTTTTAATGTTTTATAATAATTCATTTTTTAAAACTTATTTTATTGTGGAAATTTTCAAAAATACATAATAAAGAGCATAGTGTGATGAAGCCCCGCATAGTCATCCTGCAACTTCAGGTTATACTGTGGTTGGTTTTGTGACCTGAGCCCTCAGCCTGGTGGATCAGCTTGAATCCTGTTTCAGGCACAGATACGTTCATGTCTGTGTGACGTACGGTGTCTGTACAGATGGGGAACTTTGGAGACCAGAGCCCTTGTCTGCAGATCACCACCATGCTTTATAATACACACCCAGGCAGTATTCAGGTTACCCGTTATCTCAGTTGTTTTACAGTTGGTTTGTTTAAATCAGGATCTATATCTTCTATTTTGTTGATACCTTTTTTTCAATCTATAGGTTTCTCTTCCCTCTTTTTTGTTTTTCTTGTATTTTAATTTTTGAAGAAACAGTTATTTCAGTGGCTTTTACTGAATGTCTCCTAGAGGTCTTTAAAGTTTTCTCTGTCCTCTGTATTTCGTATAAACTGACAGGTCTAGCATGGTTTTCCTGTTCATTTTTGCTCTTTGATTTATAAGGCATGATGAAAAGAAAATTTCGAATTTTGATTGAATCATCTTGGCACATGTTTTGAAGTTTCTGTATTGAGAGGACCCACAGTTAACCCTGTGTGGAGTTTCAGGTTTCAGAAGCTAAAGTAGAAGGCAAAATAACATAAACTAGTGTATTTCACTAGCATTTTCTAGACATGCATCAAATACCTATTCCCTTCAGCGGCAGTTCTTGACTATTGTGTCTCCAGGAACCTGTCTTTGTTTCTTTTCTAACAGAAGGAAAGTCGTGCACTCGGCCTCACCCCAAGGTGGGTCTTGCTCCATCTGCGCACCACCCCTCCTCCCACTGACTTGTTTTAAAACATGTCCCAGCCATCGTATCATTTCATCCACAACACCTTAGTAGGTATTTCCAAAAATCAGCTCTTATTTAAAAAGAAAAATAACCTAAAAATGTTAAAAAATATATCCTCTAACCAACACCTACATTTTTTTTATTAAGGTATCATTGATACACAGTCTTAGGAAGGTTTCACATGACCAACTGTGGTTACTACATCCTCCCCTATTATCAAATCCCCACCATATACCCATTACAGTCACTGTCCATTATAGTAAAATGCTATAGACTCACAACTTATCTTCTCTGTGCTGTACTGCCTTCCCCTTGCCCCCCTACTCTGTCCCCCCTCCCCTCCTGCCCTCCCCACTAGTCCATTCTTGGGTTCTGGGAGTCTCCTGTTGTGTTCCTTCAGTTTTGTTTTTTTATTTTGTTGTCATTAATCTACAATTACATGGAGAACACTGTGTTTACTAGGCTCTACCCTTCACCAAGTCCACCCCACAAACCCCATTACAGTCACTGTCCAGCGTAGTAAGATGCTGTAGAATCACGACTTGTCTTCTCTGTGTTGCACAGCCCTCCCCATGACTCCCCATTATACATGCTAATTGTAATGCCTCCTTTCTTTTTCCCTGCCCTTATCCCGCCCTTCCCACCCATCCTCCCCAGTTCCTTTCCCTTTGGTAACTGTTAGTCCATTCTTGGGTTCTGTGATTCTGCTGCTGTTTTATTCCTTCAGTTTTTCTTTGTTCTTACAGTACAGGTATGAGTGAAATCATTCCGTACTTGTCTTTCTC